TATAAAGAAAGCTGAGCACTGAAGAATTGATGCTTTTGAACTGTGGTGTTGGACAAGACTCTTGAGAGTCCTTTGGACAGCAAGGAGATCCAACCAGTCCATCCTGAAGGAGATCAGTCCTGGATGTTCATTGGAAGGACTGATGTTGAAGCTGAAACCCCAATACTTTGGCCACCTGATGCGAAGAGCTGCCACTTTTGAAACAACTCTGATGCTGGGAAAAGATTGAGGGCGGGAAGAGAAGGGGATGACAGAGGATGAGATGGTTGGATGGCATCCCCGACTCAATGGACATGAGTTTGGGTAGACTCTGGGAGTTGGTGATGGACAGGGAGGCCTGATGTGCTGCGGTTCATGTGGTTGCAAAGAGTTGGACATGACTGAGTGACTGAATTGAACTGAACTGAGGAATATTCTTGATTTTCTTCAGCTGGTAGGAGGTGGGAGGGAGAGAGTGGCGGGGGGTGGAGAGAGAGTTGGAGCTATTATCATCTTGTGACTTTTGTGGACAGATCCTGTTTTAAAAGAAAGTTAACACAAGTCAGAAAGCAAAGCTGAGAGATGAAGGGATATCAGGTTCTGCTGACATCATTTGAGTACTTTCATCCCACTGTGTCTGAAACTAGCCCTCTATACTTACATGCCAGTGGATTCCCTTTTTTCTCAAGCCAGTTTCTTTTTTTTTGCAACCCAAAGAGGTTGGCCTGACATAAACTGTAATTAATGACCAGAACCTCAGCTGTCTAAAGAGGGACTTGTCACTCTCAACAGATGCCCCATATTTTCTTTCAACTGATATGGTTTGGAGTATCTGTTCATGGCTTTACAGGAATGAGGAATAGGTATTTGTAGTTTGTGAGTGCAAGTTAAAAAGGTAATTGGAAACTAAGTAAGTACAAAAACATCTTCAATCAAAGAAAGATTTTGTAAGCTGAAGTATTGTTTGTTTTTATGATGGAGCATGTAAATCTTCATATATAAAAACTTCACTATCATTAGGGTGTGTCACACAAAATAACAAACACACCTTTTTCAATCTGGTTATAAATATGCAGAGTGGAATTTATTTCACCAAAGCATTACATGCTTCCAACTGATACTATATCAATAAAAGCTCTCACTCCAAGATGTCATTAAAGCCACATTTGTTCATTTCTATTTATTATTAGAAAAAAACAAAATGAAAAAAAAGTGGATTTGAGTCATATTTCCTGTGAGTTCATCATTGGCTGGCATATAACACTTGTGAATTTTATTCAATTCATTTAAAATGATTTCTAACATGCAGCCAGAAAGTTAAGGGTGGCAAAGAATTCAAAATGATCAGCAGGCATCCAAGATTTCTCAGGAGACAGATTTAGAATCACAACTAAGGTATGTTTTCCTTAAGGAAGTGTATCTTAGGAAAATTGTCTCTAATGAAACAGAATTTTTCCTAATAAATTCAGCTCATTTGCATTTTAAAATCGGTAGATGGAGATGACTTTCTCAAAATAAGGTTGGTTTTTTTTTTTTCCTTTTTTTAAGAATAGGTCAGATACAGGCCAGGATCTATGGTGCTCATTTCAGATGCCCTCAGAATTCATCCTCTTTTCTTATTTACTTTGTAATTATGTGATTACAAAGAAGTCAGCTGGGCTAAAGTGATGAGTTCCGATGTCAATCTTCACCCAGAGTTTGAAGAAAACCTTTTAGAGGTTGAGGATACCCAGATAATTTTCAGAAGTGGAATTAGGAGAAAAAAAGAAAACCCAGTAACACATAAAACAAAATAAAGTGGGAAAAGGCTTATGTCTTACAATTCCCCAATTGTCCCTGGAGTTGAAATGCAACAAAAGCTGTTTTCTTTAAAATGATTCTACCCTTTTGAGAGTAGCATTCTAGGAATCAGTTACCTTAGGAGTTCGCTTCTAATTTTAGCTAACCTAGACAGAGGGTTACCAGCCTGGGGATTAGGAGTGGGTCGCATCAGGGAATCAATATGAATGATGCCACCACCACAGCTGATAACATTCCCCACGAGCCACGTGTTTGTGGAAGACTTTGTAGTGGATGCTTGCAGCCTCCACACCCCGTTTCTTCCTCCTCTTCTGAGAGGTTGGGAAGCTCAGTAGAAAGATGCCCAGGGTCCCCAGGTGGTCAGAGTTCCGGGGTAGAGTCAGACTCTCTCCATCAGTTGTCCTGTGTGAGATCTGGAAGACGGGAGTAAGAGAGAGCGGCCTCCTCCAGCCATGGCAGGTAACAAGCAAGGGCTCACGGTGTGACTCCATGTCAGTCAGACGCCAGGTTCCAGTGTCTGACTATCATCTGGGCTGAGACAACAGCAGAAATGGTCACAGCAGCAAAAACATTGCCGTGACCTGCAAACTAATAGTCTCCCTTCCAATTCTTCAAATGACTTGATAGGCAACGTCTAAGTCCCTTGTGTAAAATTTTCACTAGACCCTTTTATAAGACCCTCCTTGCATCCGTGTTCTTGCCCCAGAAAGGTGCCAACAGTTACCAGTGCCTCCCAGTTTGTCCAGCACTGCCCCAGTTTTAGCACTGAAGGTTCTGCATCCAGGGAACCTCCTCAGACCCTGGAAAACTGGCAAGATTGGTCACCGTAAGGTGCAGCCACTCTGGGTGGGACATTCTATCTACATCAACCCTGTCTGTGGGCTTAACATGAAACTTGCTTTGATCAGTGGAATACTAGCAAGTATTACCAAGAAAGATCTGGTAATTTTCTCCTCTGCCTCTGCCTGGAAAATGCTCAGGATATCCTGCTGGAGATTCACACAATTGGCCCAGATGCACCAGCAAGACATGGGGTGAAGCTAATGTGATTGGAAGAACTGCCCAGTACTGCCCAGCCAAGCCCCAATTTCTGTTTCTGATCTGCAGACCTGTGATTTAAATAAATGCTCTTTGTTTTCAGCTGACGTGTGTGTGCATGTGTGTGTGTGCGTGTTTCAACATTATCATGATAATAGACAACTGGTATATGTGTGTGTGCTAAGTCGCTTCGGTCGTGTCCGACTCTTTGTGACGCTATGGACTCCAGGATAGCCCGCCAGATTCCTCTGTCCAAGGGATTCTCTTTATGTCTCCTGCATTGACAGGCGGGTTTTTGTTTTGTTTTGTTTTGTTTTGTTTTTGACCACCAGCACCACCTGGGAAACCCTAACTGGTATACCTATCACTCAAAGTAACTCAGTTAACGCTTGGAATAACTGGAGTGGCTTCTGTTTTCTGCACTGAATCCTGAACTTTACAAAGATTTGCTCCTTTCATTATCACAACGACCTGATGAAGAGGAATGATGGCAGCGCCCACTCTGCACATGTGGTTCATGGGTGGTAACTAAGTCATCTGAGTTGGTTCTTCTGGGAGATGCCAGCACTGGAACGCAAGCCAGGTCTGCGGGAATGCAGAGCCCACCTCCTTAGCTCTCAGACCCCACTGACAGACAAACCAAGTCACGCCTAGGCGAAAAGAAATAGGAACACGTTTCTGCTGGGACGAATCTACAAGAAGACAGGTTTCCAAGGTCTCCATTGGATGCAAGCTATAAAGGAGGTGCAGGTTTCACGCAGAGAATCAGAAGCTGTAAGGGTGCCTGCAAATCCCAGAGCTGAGTTCTCTGAGGGCTGTGCAACCTCTTTATCTAATATGATTGCATTTGGCCCTATCTTCAGATTTACTCATCTCTTCCACGACAGCATATTGAGCAACAATCTCAAAGACCCACTCGTCTAAACAAAGGGAACACGCCTCACTCAAGCCCTCCTTTGATTTACAACCAATTCTCTTTTAACATGTGGACCCAACAAACAGGAGATCGCTGACTAGCTTGAACAATGAACTTGTTAGTTAACAGAATTAACAGTGTATTGTTTCACTGCAATGACAGTAATAAAGCAGGAGACGTGAAGTCGATACAGTCACAACTGAATCGTAATGGATGAGATATTTACAGCAAAGCTGTTAAAACATTGAATAAAATATGGGAAGAGCAAAAGCAGATGTGTTTTTATTCTTCTGAGTTGAAGCTTGTAAGGTAAAAAGATAGTTTGAGTAATAATCACAGGTTCTGATTCACAATGCATTAATAAATATTCATATGGTACCAGCCGCTGAAACTTTCCAGATACAGAAATAAAGTGCGAAAGCCTGTTCTTCCCTTACACTTTGCTAAGTTTAGATTTCCAGACACACATGTCAATATCTCCATTAGGTTCTTGTAAAAGTTCTCTTTTATTTTCTACAGCCTTCCAAGTCTTGCTGGCGAAACACTCATCTTCTCTTTTTTTCCGGTGTCACAGTATTTCCCCCACTCAAACCAGAAGAAAGTAGAAAAGACGCGATGGTCTATTAATAAAGAAGAGACCTATAATTTAAGTAGAAGATAGAGGTGGAAGGAAATGAGCGTTCCTCTCCTGAATTAGGCACAGGTAAATGAGCTTTATATCCCACTGGAAACCCACAATCCCAAGTGAGTTCGAACAGTAGGATGCTTGATTTTGCAAGATCAAGCAAAATGCGTTTATGTGCTTTCTCCCTCTTCTTCTGTTATTATCTTGTCTTTGTTTTCAAAGGAACAGGGGAGTTTTGGAGAGCGCAGGGGAAGGCTGCTCTACCCAGATCTGAAACAACTGGGGAGACATAACTGGGGACGTGCGTCAGGATGCTGCGTCCGGATTCTGTTTCCCTGCCTTTCAGAGAAGCAGCTGTTCGGAGGAGGGAGGGGGCGGCTTGGCACAGACCGAGCTCAGATTTTATGGGGGACAGAAGGAGGAAAGGGAGACCGGAGTGCACTGCAGGGGCCTGGACCCCTCCGACGGGCAGCTCGCGCCTCCCCGGGTGAATGCCAGGTTTGGATCGGCGGCTCCTTGATGGATGACCGGGAGCGCCGCGGCGGTAGCAGGGCGGCGCGGAGGTTGCTATGACGCCCTTTGTTCCCCACTCGCCGGCGTTTACCGGCGCGTGCACCTTGGCGAGAGCGGGACTGCGCGGCTTTGTGCGGCGCCGCCTGGTCCCTGGTCCGTGGACGCCCGCGTCCTTTTGTCCCTTTCACGGCACGGCGTCCTGTCCCTAGGTCCGCACAGAATCTTTCCTGTGGGCTCCATTCTGTGCTCAGATTATCTCCGTCGCCTCCAAGTGAGCTTTTGTTGCTGTTCCTAACCAGCCCCTCCTTCCCGGCCCTGCCCTGGTTATTTTTTTCCCTTTCAATGAGCGCTATCCTGGCAGACTGACACTGCGGGTTTCATTTGCTTGTTCTGCTGCATCTTCCCCTAAGATCTGAAGCTGATGTTCTGGGTGCTCGTCTGTGGCCCGGAGCTGTAGGCAGTGAGAGGGCAGGGAGGGTGGCTTCTGAGGACAGGACCAGTCAGGGAGGAGAGGCCCAAGCTGGGGTCGGCGGGGGAGGCTCTTCTTGCCAACGGCCCGCAGCTCCTTCCCAAGAGAAGGGTGTTCCCCGAAGAACTTTCCTTGGGCACAAATTCTGGAGCAGGCAGGCCTCTTGACCTCTGAGAGGCCCAGGCCACTTCCACTGGCGGGTCTGTGTTACACCCACAGTGAAAACACGCCACCAGAGGGTTATCTAAACTCGGATATGTTTAAGTTGTTGTCTAGTTGCTCAGTAGTGTCTGACTCTGCGACCCCAGGGACTGTAGCCCGCCTGGCTCCTCTGTCCATGGGATTTCCCAGGCAAGAATACTGGGGTGGGTTGCCATTCCCTTCTCCAGAGGATCCCGACCCAGGGATAGAACCTGTGTCTTCTGCATTGGCAGACGGATTTTTTTTGTTTTTAAACCACTGAGCCCAGGGAGGTCACTGTTTTCAGTGTTTGCACACGAGCTCAGTTGCTCAGTCATAACTCACGCTTTGTGACCCCGTGGTCTGTCAGCCGCCTCTGTCCATGGACTTTTCCAGGCAAGAATACTGGAGTGGGTTGCCATTTCCTACTTCTGGGATTTACATTTAAATTAATGCCCTTCATACAAATCTCAGACTACATAATTGTGCTGTGAGTAAAAAAAAATTAGTGAATTTGTTAACCATATTTATTCTGTATGAAGTACTGATAGGCTTGCAAACAAGACTCTGTAACAAAACCCAAGAACATGAGTTGATATTGTAGAAAGCATGTGATATTTGAAAGCTAATATCAGTTGTTTCATTGGTTAAATCCTGAAGGATTGATTGGTTCCCTGATCGTACTCTGATTCTATCCTTGCTCTGTGCACAATTAACAAGGCATTTATTCTCAATGGGGGCAAAAACAGGAGTTTCCTAAGGCATGTTTTCCCTCCAGTAAGTTTAGCAGAGGAATTAATTATTACTATGCAGTCATCTTTTTTGGAAGACTGTTTGGAAGGTGGTTCTTGTCTCTTTTCCCTTCAGATTTTTTTTTCTTTGAAATTGGACAGCCTAAATGTTAGCTTTACTGGAGCTGAACATACTGTAATGCTTAACCCAGGTGAAAAATGACTGCTTGCCAATGACTTTTACGTCTATATTAAGACTATGCTGGTTATATAGTGCAGTTAAACATAATATGTTCCAATGTAGAGAGGACGGTAGAGCTAGGCGTCAGTGACATGCTTTTGAAAATGCAGAGGTTGTGAAAAGCAAGCCAAGTGTGTCTATATAGAAATTTGTGCAAATAAGAAAAATATAACTGTTACTTTGTCAGTCATTGGTCTGTACCTTATGCTGCAGTTCTTTATTCACTGGCCAATAAAGATTTTCAGCTAAAGGCAGGAGTTTGTTTTTTTCTAGGTAATTGGCAAATGAATAGAGCCAGACTCTAATAAGTAAACAATGCACCTTGAAAATTGAATAAATAAATGATTCCGTATTATTGGCATAAAATGTCCTGGAATTTTGTCCCATTTAAAATCTTTAGCACACTACGCTCTTAGGACCTCATTCTTAAGGGAGGGCTCTTTCTTTATGAATGAGATTTATTTACAGAAAATGAAGCATTTGGCTGAGTTTGTGACTCATTCCAGATTGCACAGTATGTTGGAATTCAGGCTGTGTAGCAGGTTCTAATCCCATGGTCCAGCAATTGGATCATTTTCCCTTAACTTCTTTGAGAATTAATTTCTCATTACAGAAAAATGTGTTTAGCACTGTGGGCTGAAATACCGATATTGAGCACATTTTCTAACAGATATTTCAAAGATACAGATGAGTTTGCATCTTCCCAAAAGCAGTGCAAGGGATATTCACAGCAGGTGGAAGAAAGGTCTTTTTAGCCGGCAGAAGGGATACAGAGGTTCTGCTAGACCAGGTTTTCTTGGCCAAGCTTGTCTATGTAGCTCTGGTTAACACGCATACATCTACCACTCAAAACTGGGCCCACGACTCTGACAATGAACCTGCCAGCCTGACCAATCAGATCCAAGTCTACCATGTTGCCAGGGCAACTAATACACAGTCACAAAATCAGAATGATCACAGTGGGGAAAAACATACAAAATGCAGTATCTCTCTGCTTCGAGACAGAAAGAGGGGAAAAAAAAATCCCTAAACCTAGGTTGACTGTAGGTAGCAGGAACTGGTATCTGCTTCTTAAGTGTGCTTTATTGTTTCAGGGACATTTACAAAATGCATGTGTTTACATGTATGTGTGTATTCAGATTCATAAAAAACAATGCACATCACTTCTGGAACAGTATAGCGGATTTAGTGTGGGAGAACAATTGGCAAATGGTGGTTTGAGATGGAAAGATGAGAAGCAGAAGGACACATTATCATCTGACGTGCTTTCTGAGCAACTCCTGGTTCCACAGGGTGTTTCTGGGCTCTCTGAGTGCAGCTGATGGTCCCTTTTTTCAGCACTTAAACAATGCTGCTTGCTAAGGTGTTAAAAGTGATTTAAAAAAACCTGCCTACCAATGCAGGAGGTGTGGGTTCAATCCCTGGGTCAGGAAGATCCTCTGGAGAAGGAAATGGCAACCCACTCCAGTATTCTTGCCTGGAGAATCCCATGGACAGAGGAGCCTGGTGGGCTACAGTCCTTGGGGTCACAGAAGAGTCAGACACGACCGATCAACTGAACAACAACAAGAACAAGAATTTAATCTGTAATCCACCCTGTGACTACTACCTGGGGTTCTCTTCTGTCAGCTCTTTCTTTCCTTGTAAGACTTCTTCCCGTCTTTTGGGGATCAGCTCAAAAGCCACTTTCTCAGGATCCTTCCCTGACCATTACCTATCAACGATGAACCACCCAACTCCCTGACATCAGCGGACTTTATTTCTTTCATTGACCTTATCAACCAGCTGAAATACAGTCTCCCTCCCCCTCTCTGTGGGAAGATAAACTCCTAGGGGAAGATATTATCATGTCTTGTTTGCTATTCTATCCTAGAGTGTAGATTGGTATTCAAAATGAAATATGTGCTTTGTAACTCTTCACTGAATAAAAAATCCCAATCAGAAAATCTGGGAAACGCGGGATGCTTAGATGAAGAGACTAAGGACTGAGCGAGTCTGGATGGATGGTGTATGCGCTCGGTCATGTCAGACTCTGCGACGCTATGGACTGTAGCCCGCCAGACTCCGCTGTCCGTGGGATTCTCCAGGTGAGAACACTGGAGTGGGCTGCCATTTCCTCCTCCAGGGGATCTTCTCCGCCTGGGGATCGAACCCACGTTTCTTGTATCTTTTGCATTGGTAGCTGGATTATTTACCGCTGGCGCCACCTGGGAAGCCCATAAGGGATAGTGTATTTCCTATTGATGACAGTTGTTTAATTGGTCATTAAATAAACTGCCATTAAATAAGCAAATTTACTGAACATCTATTATGTGTCAGGTCCTGTTCTTTAGCAGCAACTGAAACAGGCAAAAGTCCTGTCCTTATGGGACTTGCAACTTAGTGAGAGAAGAACCTCCATGCGACCAGCAACTACCATGTGTTGAGTGCTTACTATCTGCTAGAAACAGCATAGAACACCTGTGATGTCAGTTATAAAAATCATAGGTGGCAAGTTCTACTATTAATTTTACTTCTTGGTGAGGACCAGTTGCAGGGCAGTTAAATACGTCATCCAAGTAAACTTGGCCATGAGCAGAAGAGCAGAGACTCCAGTCCCCACCCTCTTCCTGCTGCATTGTGCAACTCTCAGAGAAAATACAGTCTCATTTAATTCTGGCCGGAAGTCTGTGCAGTTGACACTGTAATCAGGTCTCTTTTCCTGATAAGGAAGTGAAGTTGTTTTGCTGTTCAGTCATTCAGTCGTGTCTGACTGCTTGCGACCCGGTGGACTGTAGCCCGCCCGGCTCCTCTGTCCACGGGATTTCCCAGGCAAGAATCCTGGAGTGCGTGCCATTTTCCCCCAGGGGATTGTCTCAACCCAGGGATCGGACCCGGGTCTCTTGCATTGGCAGATGGGTTCTTTACCAGTCAGCCCCTCCCCGCCACATACAGATCATATATTTGCACTGAAATACTAGTATCTTATGTCCACTGTAAAGCATAAATAAAAGCAAGTTAGAAGCTTAAATGAGTAACATTAAACTGAAATAAACAGCTTGTAATCTAATTACTTTATTAATTAATAGTAAAAGAAATCTCTGCTCTCACTAAACAAAATTACTGTTAAATGTGATCTGCAAGCAAAATATTACATGTTTTTCGACCTGTGATGGCTTCATGTTATTATTTTAGAACATACCAAGACCTCACATGTACCTGGGATGAGGGACATTGTTCCGGTTTCTTTGTGCTGAGCATCCAGTTATCCCCAAATTTAGTAATTTCAACCAGCACTTTTATTTTGCTCACGTTGTCCGGGTCAGGATTAGTAAAGGGCTCAGCTGGGTGGTCTTTATGTGGAGCCCCTCACTGGTGGAGTCAAGTGGGGCCCCACTTCCGCTTCCATCGGTGGAAGCCAGGGGGTTTCCCTGGTGGCTCTGATGGTGAAAAATCCACCTGCAGTGTGGGAGACATGGTTTGATCCCTGGGTTGGGAGGATCCCCTGGAGGAGGGCATGGCAACCCGCTCCAGTGTTCTTGTCTGGAGAATCCCATGGACAGAGGGGCCTGGCGGGCTGCAGTCCAACCCACGGGGTCACAGAATCGGACACGACTGAGTGCCTAGGCACAGCACAGTGCTGCCCAGAGTTGCAGTCATGGAAGACGTGA